ACTAGGAGTGGCGCAGGGCTCAAACTAGGAGTATAGAACGGCGAGGGGGGGCGTGGAAGGGTGAATGTGGCTTAGGGAGTCTCGGCGCGGAGAGCTGCGCTATAGACTTACCCCAAGAGGCCTGAGGATAGTAGTGCAGGCTAGGAGAGTTAGCAGGTGGTGCAGGTGGAGGGAAGCAGAGAGAGGTGAGGGCCGGGCCAGGACCAGAAGCGGTGCTCCTGGAGCCCAAGAAAGGGACTGGGTTGCTCTGGGTGAGAAGAGTCAGGAAGCAGTATTGGTTCCCCAGGTGTCTGGGGCCCCAAGACTAGGAATGGCGCAGGGCTCAAACTAGGAGTATAGAACGGCGAGGCGGGGGGGATGGAAGGGTGAATGTGGCTTTGGGAGTCCCGGCGCAGAGAGCTGCGCTATCGACTTACCCCAAGGGGTCTGAGGATAGTAGTCTGTAGAAGTATTTTTAACTGCCAGACTGGCTTGTCAAGTAGCATTGAAGCTGGAAGCTGTTTATCTTATTTCTTTGGTTTGTTTTTTGTTGTTAATTTTTATTTGTGTTTGTGTGTGTGTGTTTGTGTTTGTGTGTGTATGTGTGTGTGAAGACAACTTGCAGTAACCCGTGTCCAAGTGGAAGAGAGCTGCGCTATCGACTTACCCCAAGGGGTCTGAGGATAGTAGTCTGTAGAAGTATTTTTAACTGCCAGACTGGCTTGTCAAGTAGCATTAGAAATTGAAGCTGTTTATCTTATTTCTTTGGTTTGTTTTTTGTTGTTAATTTTTATTTGTGTTTGTGTGTGTGTGTTTGTGTTTGTGTGTGTATGTGTGTGTGAAGACAACTTGCAGTAACCCGTGCTCTCCTTCCAAGTGGACCCTGAGGATTGAACTCAGGTTGTCAGACTTCTTGGTGGCTTTACCTGCTGAGCACCTTACTGACAGACCAGTTTTTGGTTTTTTTGAGCAAGGTCTTGCTATACAGCCCACTGTGGCCTCAGACTCACAGTCTTCTTGCTCAGCCTTCCAAGTGTTAGGACTACAGACCTGTGTAAAATTTAAACCTCTTATATTTGGAAAGGACATTTTTTAAATGAAATTTAAATTTATAGACAAGGAAAACATCATTATGTGTACCTTAGATTTAATTCAGTGTCGTGGAATTTAAGTTATGGGTCTTTAAATATGAATGCACCTTCAAACTATTCTTTTTATTGCTGTGGCCATTAGTTTTTTAGTTTGGATTTCTAATTACTCATTTTAAGTTTTGTTAGAATACTTCATTACATATCTTTTAATTTACTGGTTTTATATATGTTTGTTTTCTGTGCAGTGGGAGTTTACAAGCAACTTCAGTTGTTCAAGATGCTGTGTGCTTATCTAATTCTGGAAGTGATGATTCTGAAAAGCCTCCTCCTAATTTGGGTCTTATATCTAGGAAGAGACATCATTGCAATTCTGATGAATGCAGTCATGTTCCTCCTGCTAAAAAATCCTCACTCCCTTCAGGAGTTGATTGTCAAGAATGTGCCTCTGAGGTAAGATTAAATTATTACATAATTAAGATGGTCATATTGCAACAAATCTGTTTATATTTTCTGTCTGTCTCTAAACCTCTATATATTGAAAAACTATAATACTCCTCTTCATAAGTAATCTAGATAAAGTTTGTTTGGGATTATTATTTTTAATCCATTCAAAGTGATACTTTGATAGACATTAATCAGAAAACTTACTCTTAGTTCTGTGACAGTGGCTGAAAATAAAATAAGGCCAGTGGTTTCTTGTCAGTCTGATCTTGGCTCTTCGACCTGCCAGCACTCTGAGTGGACTTTCTGATGTGAAGAATAATAGGAATATCTTCATCAGCACATGTCAAGTTTTCCATTGTGCTCAGGAATAAAGCAAGGTCCTCAAATGACCTCCCTGTAGGGTCCATTTCTGTCACTAGAATGATTTTGTGGTAGCCTCTTTCAGTTCCTGAGTGCTTGATAATCCCTCATGTCCTGGCACATTTCATTTGCTGTCCCTTCTGTGTGAAGCGTTTCTTTAGGAAACATTATTCATCACTGCCTCATCAAGTTTGGCTAGACCACACAGATTCAGTCACTGTTCACTGGATTACCAGTTTCTTAGTACCCTCTTGGTTTATGTTTTGTTTTTAATACTACTCATAATTTGTAACTACATGATGAAAAGTCACTTTAAAATCTATATTCCCAAAGGAAAAGTTGAAGGCCAGTAGTTCTTAGTAGCAGACACAGAAAACATGCTGTCATATAGAAAACATGCTGTCATATACCAGACAGAAAAAAATATAGTATTATAAAATACTCTCCTGTTGTTAGTAAGATAAAGCATTGGTTCATGTGCTTAAGAGCTATTTACTTCTATTTTCTTCTCTGTGAAATGATTTTCATATTGATATACTTTTAAATGGATTATTTAGCTTTTTCTTTTTTAGGGTCTCCTTGTAGCCCCAGCTGGCCTTGAACTCACAGAGAGTGGTGCCTGCATCTGCTCCCTGAGTGCTGGCATTAAAGGTGTGTGCCCTCATGCCTGGCTTGATCTTTTTCTTAATAGACCTAAAAGAATTTTTTTTATATATGTGTAAATTAAATGCAAATACTTTTCTTAGTTTTTTTACTTCTAGCTCAGAGGAGACAGAGGCAGGAGGGTTCCTAGGGCCAACCAAGTCTAGCCTAATTGGTGAGCACCTGGCCCATTAATCTCAAAAGGAGGTGACTAGCCTTTATCTCAGCACTCAAGGGGCCAGGAGCAGGTGAGTCACTGTGAGTTTGAGACTAGCCTGATCTACATAGTGAGTTCTAGGCCAGCTGGAGTTACATCATGAGACCTTGTCTCAAAAAAAAAGGGTGGGTAGGATTCCTGAGGATAACACCTGAAATTATCCTCTGACCTCATATATGTTCACATCCCCTGCCTGCCCCGCCCCCAATGATCTATGTAGTTTGCTATCAATATCAGTAAGTATTTCAGAGTATTTCTTTTGAGACAGAAAGGATCTGACTACATAGCCCAGGCTGACCTCAACTCAGGATTGTTCTGCCTCAACTTTCCAGCCTGAGATTATAGATGTGTGTCAACACAACCAGACTTCTCCACTTTTTTAAACCAAAAGTAGCATACTGCATGCTAGGCTGGACAACAGTGGCAAAATCTATCTCAAGCCAGATATGGTGAGGCACACTTTAATGCCAGCACTCGGGAGGCAGAGGTGGGTGGATCCCTGTGAGATCCAGGCCAGCCTGAACTATATACAATAGTGCCAGGCCAGGTGGGACTATAAGGAGACCCTGTCTCAAAAGGACCCCCCGCCCAAAAGAAGGAATACTTAGGCCATTTTATTAAAAAATTGAATAATTCTATTAATAAATATTATTTTACTTCTTTTGAACCATATTAGCCTTTATCATGTTGAATCATGGTACATTTCTGAAACGGATTTCTAATTGACCATGATGTGTTGTTAGTCTTTTGGTTCTTTTTAGTATTTGAGTTGGGATTGGGGATATACCTCAGTGGTAGAGCACTTGCTTAGCTTGTGGGAGGCACCATAAACACACAAAAATTTGTTTCATTTGACATCCTTCTATTGGTGACTGGTTAGTTGGTATCAGTATTATGCCTGAGATAAAAGTCATTTGACAACCTTCTTCCATTGGACCGTAGAGTAGTTTAACTAAGAGTAATATCTTTTCCACCAGTGTTTAATTTGTAATATCATTTGTTTAATATCTGACTCTGGAGCTTTCTGGGAGGTGCATGCTTTATTATAGAAAGGACAAAGGAAGTAGAGGGGATAGAATTTAAAGTTTACTTAGTAAGTGAATTTCTAAAACTTCTATATGTTTTCTTGAAACAGGTGCATTCAGTTGAATTAAATGTTTTCCAGAAACCAGGTGAGTGAAATAAGTTGAATGTGACTGCATTTTGCTAAGTACTAATGATTGTTCTGATGTATCTTGAACTTGAAGCAAAGACCTGCTCATTTTCAACTAATAACCCAAACCCCAAACCATCAAACTCTCTAAGATGCCATCATCACTATTTTTTAAAAGTTTAGAGCCATTACTATGATTGCTATAGATAGTTGATAAACTTAGGATATAGTAAATTTGAAGATAAATAATAATCCTTAAAAAAATCCTTATCTGGGGCTGGAAAAATGGCTAGTGGTTAAGAGCACTGGTTGCTCTTTGTAGTGGAGCCAGGTTTTGTTCCCAGCATCCACATTGTGGCTAACAACTGTCCATAATTCCAGTTCCTTTGGGTTCTGATGTCTTCTTATGGTCTCTGCATGAACTGCCCACATGTGGTACCATTATATATATGCAGGCAAAATACTCAAACACATAAAATAGGAATAAAAGTCAATAAAAATTAAAAAGTTCTTATTTAAGCTGGACATGGTGGCACTCCCCTTTAATCCCAGCCCTTGGGATGAAGAGGCAGATGGATTTCTGTGAGATGAGGCCAGTGGGGCTACAGGGGGAAAAAAAAAAAAAAAAAGCAAAACCAAAAAAGCCTGATCTATGCCTATATTTTGAAGTATTTTCCTCTAGGAGTTTTGAAGTTTCAATACTTACAATAAGGTCTATGATACATTTTAAGTTGGGTTTTGTTCAGGAAAGACATAGCCGACTAGTGTTATTCTTCTGCATGTAGATAACCAGTTTTGTCAGCACTGTTTGTTGAAGAGAGTAAGCTGTTTTTTCTCTAATGTATGTTTTTGGTTCCTTTGTTGAAAATCAGATGACTAGCTGAATGTTTATTTCTGTGCCCTGTATTCCACTGGTCTATATGTTTGTTTTTGTGCTAGTGCATGCGATTTCTGTTACTATGGTTTTGTAATATAATTTAGTTAATATCTTTTCTGTATGGGGGAATGGTCTAGTCTACTGGTGGTGCTTTCCACTGTGGTTTTTATTTGAGTCATTGAGTTTTTTATTTCTTTTGTTTTGGTCTTTTGAGACAGGGTCTCCCTGTAGCCCCAGCTGTCCTGGAACTCACTATGTAGACCAGGCTGGCCTTGAACTCACAGAGATCTGCCTGCCTCTGCCTCCCGAGTTCTGGGACTAAAGGCGTGGGCCACCACACCCAGCATTTTAATTTGTGTCCTGTCCCCTCTCCTTGCCCCTCCCCCACCCGAATAATTCTGGTTTTCTTGCTTACTCTCACATCCACGTTGCTGACTTCCTTCTCGAGGTCCTGAATTGATTTCCTTACTTCATTTATCTGCTTGATTGTACATCTTTGAAATCATTGATTGTGTTTATTAGCAGACTTTTTAATTCTCATGCATTTTACCCAATTTAAAAGCAATCATGTTGATTTGCCTTTTAATGTTATATTTCTATCTTGTAGTTTGCCAACTTGTACCTTTGTTAGGGTAGGTAATTCTTCTGGTTTTTTGTTTTGTTTTTTTTAGACAGGGTCTCTTTGGGTATTTATGGCTATCCTTGAACTTGTGGCAATCTTTTTCCCTCTTCCTCCCACAAAGGGGTGGCTGGAATGCCCAGGCTCCCTAACTTGAACTTATTTCTAGTTTTTAGGCTCCCCAAAGTAGTTAAATATCAAGCTGTGAGACCATTTTCAAGATAGTGCATGGGCACGGCCTGGTGAAGTGTGGAAAGTTATTGGTGTCTTTAGTGATGCCTTGTCAGATAGGTGTCAGTATTGAACCAGGTCCCCCAATTGGATTTAAGGCTTATAAGAGTTCTTCACTTGCCATGTGACTAGGACTAATGTCCAGTTCCTTTTAAGCCAGTTTATCTGGTTTCCTTGTTGGTATATATCTGGCTCTCTGGTTACTTGTTTTTGCTGCTCCTTGTTTTCTATTTCTGTGGACTTTCCAGCTGTCTCTTGTGCTTTTAGATGCTCTTGCTCTCCTTTTCTCTTCAGTAGTCTTGTTTTTTGTTTTCCTGACTTTTGTCAGTCCTCTTGTCACATGCAAGGTGTGTCTCATTTGCCGTCTAGGCAACTCCCTTCCCCTCAAGTAATTTTCCTTGACTTTTTAATTTTAATTTTTATTGTTTTTAAGACAGGGTCTTACTCTGTAGCACAGGCTGACCTCAGACTTGAACCTTGCTTTAGCCTCTTCAATGCTAGGAATACCATCTTGTGCCAGGATACCGAGCTTTATCCAATTATTCCTAATAGTGTACTTTACTAAATGTGATATGGATTGCTCTTACTGGCTAGGTTTCTTGTAGAATGCCACAGTTTTTCCCTTCAGATCCTCCAGTTTAATTGCCCGTGTTCAATTCAGTGCATGTGCTTATCATTTGCTCTCTTTATTTTTCTTTTTAAAGGGGAGTCTTGCAAGGGACAAGATATTTTCCCCACTGCAGAAAGCATACCTACAACCTCAGAACCTCAACAAGAGCAAATGGAACCAAGTTTTCAGAATACAGGATCCAGATCTCTTGATGAGATAAGAGATGCCTGTATAGAAAAGAATACTACACAGTTGCCTCAGGATAAGATGGTTGTGTCTAATGAAGAAGAAAAAACTGATCCTCCTTCTAATTCTGAACAGATGAACAGCAGAACATCATCTTCAAAACCTTCTCTGTCCAGGTATTGTAAGAAACCCTTTAGTGAATATCCCTCTGAGTAAGTACAAAGTATATAGACCAGACACAGCACATAGTATAGCATTAGATCCAGTACTGAGTTGTTGTTTTATGAACATAGCCTCCATCAGTTATGTAAAGGAAGGACAGTTTAGCACAAGAAATACAGTAGTACTCCATGTATGCATTCCATACATACAAGAGCTTAACTTAAAAGTACTGAAACTCTAGATAGAAAATCCTTAGAACATACTGAACTTTCTAGTCCATATTGTTCCTGGCCATTAGTTTGATGATTACATAATCTATCCTTCAGAACATGTACACGGAGATAGGATGAGACAACATAGAGCTGATGTCAGAGCTAGCTCTGGAAGTTGTTTTATCCAATTTCCAAATAATATGTTGTTGTTGTTTTTCCATTGTGACATTTAGTGTGGCTTTCTCTCTGAGTAAGTTTAGATTTTAGGTCCATACAACTGCTCCCATATTTTTTTTTACCCTACACAAGACGTCTTTAGGGTTATCAATAATTAGCGGCTTGCCAGCAGCATTGAAAACATTAAGGTGGTAAATTGAGAGGGACATCATGCACTAGTCTCCACTAGAGGGATAGGATGTGTGTCTGAAAAGGGTTTATATAATCTATTATTTGGTTATCTAAATTGCAGAAGGTAAAGCTCATCAGTATCTTTTCTGACCTCAGGGGTATCCTGAAAATAGAGTGAGGATAGGAAGTAGTATCAGGGTTTGGATTAAAGCAAGTTGAGAAGCAATGATCCAGAAAAGAAGACAGGGCTGCAAACATTTTTTTTTAATTTATTATTTTTATTTCATGTGTATGAAGGTATTGCCTGCATGTATGTAGGTGTACCTGTGTTGTGCAGTGCCCATGGAAGTCAGAAGATGGTATTGGAACTGGAGACACAAATGGTTGTTAGCCGCCGTGTGGGTGCTGGGAACTGAATCCAGGTCTTCTGAAAGAGCAACCAGTGCTCTTAACCACTGAGCCATCTCTCCAGTCCTATGCAAATGTTTTTTTTTGTTTGTTTTTCTTTTTTGGTAGAAGGCCATATAGTACATATTTAGGTTTCGTGGGACATAGGCCATATGGTTTCTGTTAGAACTACTCAACTCTGGTTGGAGCACAAAAGCAACCTTAACCATGTACTTGGTGCATTCCATAAAATTTAATTATGCAATCAGGTTGCATTTAAGCTGTGGACCATCCTGTGCTAATCTCTGCCCTAGAGACTTGCTGCTCAGATTATGATCCTGTATCAAGCAGCATGGACATCAATTTGAAAACTTCTTAGAAATATAGGACACAGACCATACCCATTTCAAACTCAGAATTTTTGTTTTAATAATACCTCCAGTTGATTTATGTGCACTTGTAAGCTTGGGCAACTTTAGCTCTGTCACAAATACATGTCATAGCATAGTGGCACCAGCACTTTGTAAAGTGTATCATTTTAGCGCTAATAGAAATAAGGTGGTTTTAAGAATGTCTCTTGGGGCTGGAGAGATGGCTCAGCAGTTAAATGCACTGGCTGTTCTTGTAGAGGACCTAGGTTCAGTGACAGCTTGCAACAAGCTGTAACACCAGTTCCAGGGTATCTGATGCCCTCTTCTGGGCCCTGAGGGTACCACATACACACGGTGTAATCCATATATGCAGCTCCTTTATGGAAGATCTGTGTGTTAGTCTCATAGGTGTGAAATTAAACTCCCTGTCCTCACCTGACTTTGGCTGTTGGTCTCTGATTTTTCTGTAAAATAAAAATAAATCTTTTAAAAAAGGAAAAAGGGGACTGGAGATGGCTCAGGGGTTGATCATGCAGACTGTTCCTGCAGAGGGCCCAGGTTCGATTCCCAGCACCCACATGGGAGCTTATAACCGTCTGAAACTCCAGTTCCAGGAGATCCAGTGCCTTCTTCTGACCCTCGTGGGCATTGCATGACATGGGTACACTTACACATATGCAGGTAGTACACTTATACACATAAAATAAAAATAATTTTTTAAAAAAAGAATTTCTTCCTAAACATGTTGACGTATACCTGTAGTTTCATAGAGTTAGGGGGCTGAGGCAGGAAGATTTCACATTTGAGGCCAACTTGAGCTATATATTGTAAGACCCTCTTTCAAAACAACCAAAACAAGGTGCGCATGTGTAATTTTTCTAATACGTTATTAATATATTTTCCCATTTCTGTTTCTAGACCTGGCCGAAGACCTTTGGGATTTTTGTCTTTGATATGTCCAAAGAATAGTTTGGATGCTGATGAAGTGACTCAGGTCCATAGTAAGAAGCGCCTGAAACCTCATATACCTGTATCAAGACGGAATTTGAAAAGACCTAATTCACTTAAGGCAAACCAGAAAAAAAATCCAGAGTCTTCTGCTCCACTCCCTTCTCCAAGTGTTGCCGGTGCTCAGTCTGAGAGTACTGGTAGCGCAGCAGCTCAGGTGTGTGAGAACTGGATTCCACCATGTGTGACGTATCAGATTCAACTAGGGAAAACTGCAGCTTATTTTCAGTTAGATGTCAGAAATTATTTCAGTATAGCTTCTGTTCACCACAAAATTGCAGCTAGTATAGTATAAGCCATTGAATTAGCTATAAATGCACACTTAATTGCCATTCCTTTAATCTGGACTCTTAATGACCTATGGAAGCAAAATGAAGTACTGTTTGCATTGTTATTTCCCTTAGGAGAAATGTCCTGGTTTATAAGAATTCAAGGAATTGCTGGGCCTGGTGGCACAAGCCTGTAATTCCAGCACTTGGGAGGCAGAGGCAGGTGAATCTCTGCGAGTTCAAGGCCCGCCTGGGCTACGTAGCGAGTTCCAGGCCAGCTGGGGCTACAGGGAGACCCTGTTTCAAGAAGACCAAAAACAACAACAACAAAAAGAATTCAAGGAATTATAAAGTAGAATTTATATTTTATTTCTATGCTTCCCTAAAGCTGTCTAATGGCAAGTACTGTTACAGAGTTTGAAACCACTGAGAAAAAGACCACCAGACTCAATTCAAATTTTAATTTGCCAAATTTATTAGGGTTATAGCTGTCCGTGGTCTTTCAGTGAGATTTGGGACCCATGGCCCTGAGGGGAGGGTGAAACTAGCTTATAAAGGCAAAACCCACAAATACCATAGGAATTTTATCACCAATGAGTAACACATTAGTCCTCTTAACAGATGTATAGAAACCTTGACAGTAAGGCACTTTCTGATTAAGTGCAGCTGTAGTGTCTAGGAGGTGACCAAGGTCAGCTGCTCCAAAGAAAGCACTCTTCTAAGGGGAAACAACTAAGTTCAGGCATTTAACCTTGAAGTTAGCTGTTTTTCTAGCTTTTGAAGTTTAAAGTGGCTGCTTTATACAAAATGAAGTTACTTTGGCTATTACAATTTGGGGAACTCCATTTGGGACCATTATAGTACTAGGATGAAAAAAATCTGTGACTTATATGAATTGATGTATCACTGCTAAAGTATTATTCTAATGCTTTTTAAAATTTTTATTTAAGTGTATGTGTACGTCTGCATAAATGTATGTGCACCATGTGAAGGCTGCTTGAAGGGCAGAAGAGAGCTTTGGTTCTCCCAGGAAATGGAGTTACAGGCGATTGTGAGCCATCAGTTAAGAGCTAGAAACCAAGCTGGATGTAGTGGCACACACCATTAATCCCAGCACTCGGGAAGCAGAGACAGGCTGATCTTTGTGAGATCAAGGCCAATTGAGGGCTACATGAAGACCCTGTCTCAAAAAGACCAAAAAAAAAAAAAAAAACCTAGAACCCAAACCCAGGTTAACTGCTGAACCATCTCCAGCCTGTTGTTGTTATTTATTATTATTTGTGTTTTCCCACAGTGCTGGGGATTTAACTTGAGGCCTCATGCGTGCTAGGCAAATGCTTTACCAATGAGCTACTTCATTAGCATCAGCATCATTGGCAAATTATCTTATGGTTGTTATAATTACCAGCAGTGTGGCACTGCCAGTTTAGTTCTGTCATTGCCAGAGTTAATAATAATATTTTGAAATAATTCTCTTTTTTTCGATTAAGTATAACAGTGGAGGGTGAAAATATCATTTGATTATTTTAATTTGCATTTTCTTAGTTACTAGTAACTTCAGCTTTAAAAAATATTTACTGGAAGTTCTCATTTGTATTTTCAGTTTATTTGTTTGTTGCTTTTTATAGCTTCTGATTAGGAAATTTTTTGCTAACTGGACATGATAACTTATACGAATAATCCCAGCATGTGGGAGGCCAAGGTTAGAGGATTGCAAGTTCAAGGCCAGCCTGAGCTACACAGTGAGACTATGACTAAAAAAATAGACAAGTTTTTATCCAGAGGTATAAATTTTTTGGTAGTCAGTTTTGAAGGTTTTATTGTATTCATGGTTATAGACTTTGGTATATAGTGTGAGGTAGGAATCAAATTTGCTATTTCATTTATTTTGAATATTTTCCCCATGTTTCAAATTTTATGTACTAAAAAAGAATTTACTGTTAAAAAGTGTTCCCTTCCCACAGGTATATGGCATTACCAGTTTCTGGCTTACTTTTCTGGAAATATTTTATATGTGAACTAAGATAAACAGTTCCTGCCCTCTCCCCCACCCTCTTCTCTTTCTCATTATGTAGCACAGGTCAGTCTCGAACTTACAGAAGTCCTCCTGCCTCAGCCTCCCTAGTAGTGGTTATTACATACAGATGTCTCCTGTTTTAAACAAATAGCATGCTGGTCTCTTTCTGGCCTTTTTTTATTTTTAATTTTTGGTCTTTTTGAGACAGGGTGTCCCTATAGCCCCAGCTGGCCTGGAACTCACTATGTAGACCAGGCTGGCCTTGAACTCACAAAGATCTGCCTGCCTCTGAGTGCTAGGACTAAACGCATGTGCCACTACACCCAGCTTCTGTACTTTTATTAGAAAACAAAACAGCCCAGTATGTCTTAGAGGCCTTTGCATAACAATAAATATTCCTCTCTCTCTCTCTCTCTCTCTCTCTCTCTCTCTCTCTCTCTCTCTCTCATTCTTTCTTTACAAATTTCATTTTGAGATAACTGGAGATTCACATGCAGTTGTGAGATATAATACAGAAAAAAGTTCTGCCTACCTTTTATTCAGTTTCTCTTGGTGGTAACATTTTGCAAAACCATGTTCCAATAGTGACTTTGCTCCAGGCAAGGTACAGAACATCATCACTATGATGATCTTTTATGTCTACTTCTACTTCCTCTCCCTTCTTAACTTCTGGTAACCTGTTCATTAAGTTTGTTTTTTTAGAGATGTTACATAAATTGACAGTTAAGTTGTTTTTTTTTTTTTTTCACTAATCAGATAGTTTTTTAAATTAATTTATTTTTATTTTATGTGTATGAGTGTTTTGTATGTGAGTATACCACGTGCATACAATGCTTGCAGAGGCCAAAAGAGGGTGTCATATCCCCTGGAACTGGGGATACAGAAGGTTGTGAGCTGCCATATGGGTGCTGGGAACCAAACCTGGGTCCTCTACCAGAGTAGTCAGTGCTCTTAACTACTGAGCCATCTCTCCAATAATTTGTTGGGTTTTCTGGTTGTTTTTGAGATAAGGTTCCATTATGTAGCTTAGGTGATCTTCTAAAACTCACTATAAAGCACAGACTAGCCTGGAAATTGTGGCCCTCCTACTTGTGTCTCCAGTAACTTGGTTTTTGTTGTAGAATCATATTTCATAATATGAGTGTATCACAAGTTTTTTGTTTATTTATTTTTGTTTGTTTGTTTTGAGATACGATCTCATTTTATAGTCCTGGCTGGCCTGGAACTCATTATGTAGACCAGGCTAGCCAGGCTAGGAGTGGTGGTACAGGCTGGTAATCCCAACATTCAGGAGATTTTGAGGCAAGAAGATCATATGTTCAAGGCTGGCTTGAGCTCCATTAGTAAGACTTTGTCTCAGGGGAAAAAAATAAAATAAAACAACAGAACAAAAGCACACCAACACTTTTGGATATTTATCATTGAAAAATGAAAATTTGTGTTCCTATGTAGTCCTGTATTATGTTCATATGTAGCCCTGTATTTATGTTTACAGCACCTTTGTCTACAGTATTCAAAAACTGAAAACAGATGCAGGTGAATCTCTGAAATCAAGGCCAGCCTAGCCTACTAGCAAGTTCCAGGCCACCTGGGGCTATAGGGAGATCCTGTCTCAAAAAACAAAACAAAACAAAAAACAAGCTTGAAAACAACTGAAATATCCTTTAATGAATAAATGGATAAATAAAACTGTGATAGGCCTGGCATGGGCACACACTTTGAATCTCAGCAGAGGCAGGCCTAGCTCTATGATTATACATGGCTTTCTGTTACTAGGTTATACCATTTAGTAATGCTAGTTTTATATTACAGGTATTTATGTTGTTCCTAATTATGTGCCATTTCTGAAGGCAAAGTAATAGCTGTCTTATAAATGAGTCATTTTACACATTCATCTATAGACAAATAGAAATGCTTGGTCAAAAGGAATGGTGTTCTTTTGATAGGTACTACCTGATTAGTCTCAGTAGGGATCATGCCATTTCTCACATTACTGCTTACCAGTTGCCCCTCCCCAGCCTCCTAACACATTTTCTTGTTTGTTTGAGGTGAGGCTTTTGCTGTATAGCCTCTGCTGGCATTGAACTTGAGATCCAAGGGTTAAGATTGAGGAGTATACAGGACACTTCATGATCACATACTCTTTTTGCGGGGTGGGGGGGCGGTGTCTTTTTGAGACAGGGTCTCCTAGTAGCCCCAACTGGCCTGGAACTCCCAGAGATCCACCTGCCTCTGCCTCGCTCTGCTGGGATTAAAGGAGTGAACCACACGCCCAGCTTGAAAAACTTGTTTTGTTTTGTTTTTCTTTTTTCATATTAACCTGTAAAAGGTCTTATATTAAGGGAAAAGTACCTTTTGTGATACAAGTTGCATTTTTTTGTGTGTGTGCATGCCATAGTTACTTTAATTTTGTTTTATTTGTTTATTTGCTTGTTTGTTTGTTCAACTAGCCTGGAACTCACTATGTCTACCAGGCTGGCCTCCATCTCATACAGATCTGCCTGCCTCTGCTTCCTGAGTGCTGGGACCAAAGGTGTGTGCCACCATGCCTGGCATTGAACTTTGTATATTTTTGCTTTTGCCATGCAGATCATTTTTTAATTTTACATAGATAAATTTGTCAAAAAATTTTTTGGCTTCTGATTTTTGGGCCACTTAAAAACACAGCCCTCTCCTCTCAGTCTAGGACATGAAAATATTTTACTGTGGCTTGTTACAAGTAAGTTTTATTGTTGTTGTTGTTTTAATGTTTTTATTTAAGTCTGATTTATTTAGGATTTATTTTGGTAAGGTATATATAGGTCTAACTTCCCATCAAATGGGTGTATAGTCAGTAATCAATATGTATTGAATAGCTCAACTTGCCAAATTAAAAAAAAAAACTTTAAAAACAATATTTTAATTTATTCTTTGAAAATTTTATTCGTGTATACAATGTATCCTGATTATATCTGCTCCTCACTTTCCCCAACACCTCTCCACCCTAACTTTATGTCCTAATTTAAAAATTTTTTTATTTATAATGCACTGAGTCTAATTAGTTCTACCCATATGTACATGGGTGTAGGACCATCTAAAACTATAACCTTTGGGGGCTAGAGAAATGAACAGTGCTAAGAGCACTGGCTGCTCTTGCAGAGGACCCAGGTTCAGTTCCCAGCACCCATGTGGTAGCTTACATCCACCTGTAACTGCAGTTCTAGAGAATCTGATGCCTTCTTGTGATGTCCTGAGCCATCAGCACTCACATAGTGTACATAAACTTATGCAGGCACACACACACAGATAAGTGAAAAGTAAAAAAAAAAAAAAAAAAAAAAAAAATTAAAAATATATGTACTATAGCTGGGCATGGTGTCGCACACCTTTAATCACAGCACTTGGGAGGCAGAGGCAGGCGGATCTCTGTGAGTTCAAGACTAGCCTGGTCTAGTGACTTCCAGGTCAGCTGGGGCTACAGGGAGACCCTGTCTCAAAATATTAAAAAATATGTGTGTGTGTGTGTGTGTAACTTTTATCTGTTTTGTTGGCGTATGTATATGTTTCTGTGCCATTACTATGCTGTCTTAACTTTCTTTTCTTTTTCTTTTGGTACATCACCTCGCCTGGCTCTGTCGTAATTTTTGAGTTGATTTATAAGCATGCTGACCTTTGATTTATGAGGATCAGTTTATTCTTACTCTAGCAATTAAAATGTTTTAGTTACTCGTTTAACAGTGTTTAGTTTTGTATATTTAAATTTTTTCCTGTGGGAATTAGAGTGAAGCAGTGGGTCATGAGATACATTGTAATTTACTTAATTATGTCTAGTGTTATATATTTAGGTAAGTTGCATCTAATGTTTTTCCTCGTATGTTTTTCTTTGTGTGATGAGCATGTGTGTTTGTGCCTTCACATGTATGTGGCTGTTTATATGTATAGAGGCCTGAGGCTGACATCAGGCCTTCATGCTTGTGCAGCAAGTGCTTTAACTACAGAGCTATCTCTACAGCCCTTCCATTTTATTATGCTGCAAAAGTTTCCTTATTATTAAAATTCTTCCTGCATTTAGGATTAGTCCACCTTTACTTTTCATTCTGTGCCTGGGGTTGAGCCCAGGGTCTTTGGCTTGCAGGGCAAGCACTCTACCACTGAGCTTCACCCCCAGACCTCACTAACAACATGTAAATATTATATTGCAATTTTGTTTTGATTATCTTAGGTTTCTTCTGATCAGCCATCGCCAAAAGAAAAATGTAAAAATGAGCAAAAACAGGCATCTGAAGAGGAAGCAACCACAATCTCAGAGTATTTCTTTGGTGATATCTTCATTGAAGTGGATGAAACAGAATAAAACAATCTTGGGTTTTTCCTTTTTTCTTTTTTTTTTTTTTTTTTTTTTTTTTTAAGATTTCTAGAGTCAATGACATTAGCAAAGCAGTATTTAGAAAAAGCATCACTGCCTATCTTTCTTTAGGTCAATTTTGAGTATTTATTGAGCTTGATTTGAAGCTCCTATAATCATTGGAAAACATTTCTGAGGCTTCTTTCATTCTGATGGACTCAGCATTTTGGAAATACCAAGCAATTCAGAATGCTTTCTGAGACTGAAATAGGAACGCTTGTTTACATTGGACTCTTCCTGTGCCTAGCACACCTGGACTTTGGGAATACCGTGGAGAAGTATCTGTGTAAATCATCACGCCAGCATATTTGGAACTTGATTGTATTTAACAGTCAGTGAACTTTTGTAAATGTGGTTTGGTTTGCTTTGTTTCGTTTCTGTTTTCTTTTTGGAGGGATGATGAAGGCCTTTTCAATTGTTGTAAGTTCCTATGAGTACATGAAAGGAAATTGGAAAACTCCACTTTGGTATGGTAAGTTAAAACTTTAATATTATCAGCTGTCTGACTGAAAAATGTATTTTTCTAATCCATGATGATGTAACATTAGTTATAATTGAAGATCTAGTATTTAAACTTGCTATTTATAAAGATGGCACATCAAAAGAGATTATTTATTTTAATTTTTTTTTATTTAAAAGTATATCCAGTTTTAATTATTTTCACATAACAGATTGTGGGTAAAGAAAGCATTAACAAATATTTGTCTCTTTTTCCTCTTTAATTTAAAGATATTTTTAAAGGTCATGACTAAAAATGTTTAGATAATGTCTACGTTTTCAATATTTCTTTTTCTTATACTTTAGTGTGTTGAATTTGTACTGTGAATTTTTTGTTTTTCTTATTCTATGATCTCAGGATTTTCATTGGGAGGAAAAAATTCAACTTATGAGACACATTTTCATGTAAAACTGGAACTCCTTTACACACAGTTCTTTAAAAAAAAAAAAAAAACTTAGATTTTTTTCCCCCCTCATTAAATTCTTCTCAAGGATATATATGTAGGTCTTTAAACACAGAACATGATTTTGATGTTAAAAAACAGAAAATAAGATAGGAAGACTTTGTAAAGTCAATGATTGTCATCTTTATGAACTGAGATGTTTTTAATTTTGAGATTTGGCGATTTATAGAAATGTCTTATTTCTCTTAGCAGATCTTCCCTGGTTCAAATTAAGCTCTTTAAAGAGTAGATATATAAAATTGGTAGTTTGGGTTTAAAATGTTGGGATGGTTGCCATGCGAGGTGGCAGACACCTGTAATCCAGACCCCCAAGAGGCCAAGGTGGAGTTATTGCAAGCTTAATGCCAGCCTGGACTATTTAAAAAAAAAAAAAAAAAAAAAAAAAAAAAAAAAAAAAAAAGAGTGGATTTATTCAGTATTATTAGAAAAGCCTCATAGATGAATACATTAGCTCAGCAGTTGAATTTTTTTTTTTTTAAATATGTTTGAGATTGTAGACCAAGTAATCTTCGAGGCACCTGCTTGGCCTGCTGATTCATGTGAAAGCAGCCAGACCATGAGTGAGTGAAGAAATGAGGCTGCTTGTACTTTTAGTTTGACCCGTATCTTGGACTTTTTTCCTTTTTTCCTTTACGACTGGGTCTCATGAATGCCATGCTGGCCTTGAACTCCATTAGTAGCTGAGGATGTCCTTGAACTTCTTATCCTCCTTCCTCTACTCCCAAGTGCTGAGATTACAAGAGTGCACCACCATGCCCATTTTTGTGTGGTGCTGGGAATCCAACCCAGGACTTCATGCATGCCAGGCAAGCACTCTACCAAGTGAGCTACTTCCCCAGGACTTGAATGTAGTTTTCTTATCTGAAGGTGCTGATGTCTGTTAAGTATGAGTTATTTGTCACAGAAGTTGTGAAATGTGCCTAGGATTTTAAAGCTTGTTGAATGTATTATGAAATGATCACTATTTCAATTGGAAAAATATTTTTAAGTCTTGGTAATCTTGATCTTTGTATATTGAAAAATCAGAGGCCAGTTTTCAAGTTCCTACACAAAAGAGGATAGGATTCAGCACATATAACACTGATGCTCGTTGATTGGAACTTGCTATGAGAGCATTGCTCATTCATTGGACTGGAGTGCAATTAGTGATTTAACTTCTTTGTCATGAAGGAGGATCTATAAATTAGATGGAAACTCTAAGTATACATCTGTTTCATTTAATTGTCACAAAATCATTGGTGGTAAATCACACTGCTATTGCAATGCTGTTTGTAAATTTTAAAAATTTCATGTTCTTAAAAGGTTTTTTTCTTAATGTTAGTTGGGGTATTAGGTTACCATGACTAAACTATTATTTATCCCTGTATAATATTTATTTTTTTTAACCTTTGTCTCTTGTTCGCCTATAATAAACCATTTTATGGAAGATGTAATTTATTGTATAAAGAATGGAGGGGTATTTGTTTTGTAGAGAATCAAGTCAGTCAACAAATTGTCCTATTATTATGTCCTTAAAACAAATGTTGGAAAAAGAGAAACTTAACCATTGTACTTAGCTGGAAAGGTCTTTGATGATGTAAAGAAGATATTGCATAAAATTTATTTTATAAACCTTAAAGGAGATGTGATTAAAGGTCTTTATCTTTCTTCACTATACTTCCTGAACTCTTGCATCTTATCAAGTGGCCAATATTGTGATTTAAAAGTCTAAGTGTGATAAATGAATAAGGCACAGGTGAAAATATTAATATCTACTATTTACCATCATATTTCAAACGCAAGTGGCTGAGTACACTGCCTTGCTTGAAGAATTTTTTGACAAAAGCAATATGTTATTTGTAAATTTTCTTGTTCTAAAGAAAGCAGTTATGTTCTGTAGATAAATTATGTAAATAAAAGTTATTTTATATCATTTCTGTTTTGTTCTTTTCAAACAGAGATTTTTATGTCTAGTTGATGAGTTAGAGTTTTCAACTCTAGTCTGTACTTTCTTCTTTCTATACAAATAGAGTGTCACCAAGTATGGTAGTTCAAGCCTGTAATCAGAACCCACAAGGTGGAGGCAAGAGGATCATGAGTTCAGGGCTAGCCTGGGCTACATAGTCCCTATCTCAAAAAATATATATTTCATGTTCTTAAAAGCTCTTTTACTCTCCCTTTTCCAACACACATTTTGTTTCCTCTAAGGAAGGACAAATTGGAAACTTTAGTCCCAGAGATAATAGAGCACAGAATTTCTGAAGTGTTTGTTGGCAAAATATCAGTGCCCCCCCCCTTTTTTTAAACTATCTGGAAGTTTTGTTAGTATAGCTGTTTCTCCAGATGTGAGGTTTTTATCTTGGATCATGTCCCACCATCAGATATAAGACTATAACTGTGCTGTTTGGTCTGCTCACTTTTAGAGACATTGTGAAATAGTACAGAAGCCTAAAGAAAAATTTGTTTTTATTCTGCTTTAGTGGCATACACCCTTAATCCTAGCACTTGTGAGGCAGAAGCAAGCAGTTGAATTTCTGTGAGATTAAGGCCAGCCTGGTCAACATAGTGAGTTCCAGGTCAGCTGGGGCTAGGAAGACCCTGTCTCAAAAAAACAATTTTATTTTTTCTCTAATGGCATAGGCATTATTTACTATCTCATCCAGTATCCTACTTTTGAAAGCTTAGCTAGGTGTGTGGTGCTACATGCCTATAATCGTAGCTAGCACTTGGGAGGCTGAGACAGGAGGATTGTAAGTTTGAGGCCAGCCTGGGCTCCATAGCAAGATCCTGTCTCAACAGAACTAGGGCTGGAGTGCTGGGTGGGGCGTGTTGGGCCAGCCCCACCATTGCGCGGCCCCATAAAACAAAAAACAAAAAACAAAAGCAAAAACCCGAGTTTGGTTCCCAACACCTATATTAGGCAGCTCACAGCCACCTGTAACTCCAGCTCCAGGAGATCCAATGCCCCCTTCCAACCTCTGTGAGCAACTGCACTCTTGTAGTCTTAGCCCCACATAGTCACATGCATACACATAATTAAAAATAAAAATAAATCTTTAACAGTAAAACTAATAGGAAAAATTAATTTTCTGAGACACGCTGGCTTTAAACTCATTGGATAACGTGGAATAACCTTGAATTGCTGATCTTGCATCACCTCTCAAGTGCTGGGATTTTTAGGAAATGTTTTTCTTTGGGCCTCAATGCCAGGAATAAATGCTTTGAATTCAACAGATCTGGTTTGGGTTTTCTGCCTTTGCTTTTATCTTTGTATGACTTGTGTGATGTGTGAATCTTTAGGTTTTCTTCTGCATTACAAAACCATATTTAGGGTCAACTTGTAGCAAGGTAGAATGCTTAATGTCATATATTTTATGTGGCAAACTACTCTGGTTGCTAATATGCCCTCGTTTCCCCTTTGCTTAGATTTTAAAGTCCGTTACTTCTGGGGCTAGAAAGAGCTCAGTGGATAAGAGCACTTGCTGCACAAGTATGAGGACCAGAGTTTGGATCCCAGGGCTTGGACTGTCAGCCTATCTCCATGCTCAGTGGGAGACCCTGTCTCAAATAAGGCTGACAGTGACAGAGCAGGATTTGGGGCATTGTCCTGTGCTTCCATGTGTGACCCCCGAGGCCCCCCCCCCCATGCACATGTATCACACACATACATACAGAATGTATCGCTTCAAAATTAATATAGTGGACATTTTCATCCTATCGTGTTTGTGTGTGTGTATGTGTGTGTGTGTGTGTGCATTGTAATTGTAGGTGGAGCCCAGGGCCTTATGCATTCTAGGCAGGTACTCTACCACTGAGCCATGCACCATGCTCAGTACTATTTGTATGACTGATGGTGTTATCTCAAAAATTCATATTGAAACATTTTGCTTTGAGATGTGTCTCGTTATGTTGCCTAGGCTGGCCTCTTCATTCCTAGGTGGAAGGAAGCTTCCATATTCAACTTTGTAAGTTACTGGGACTCCAGCCTCATGCTACCAGCCAGGTGAAAATTTCCAGGGTAGGGCTGGAGAGATGGCTCAGCGATTAAGAGCACTGGCTGTTTTGCAGAAGACCCAGGTTCAAATCCCAGCACCAACATGGTAGCTAACAACTGTCTGTAACTCCAGTTCCAGGGGATCTGACAACCTCTTCTGTTCTCCAAGGACATTGCACAACACGGGTGCATTTACATGTGATCCACTTTTCATCTGAGGAGTCACCTGGATGGAAATAGGTACTGGCATAGACCCATTGAGTCCAGCCATTTGGTGGTGTCTCCTTGTGGATTGTGGTGAATTCTTTTGGGACTCTCAGACCTCCCTTGGTTTGGTTGATGGTCCTTTTTTTATTCTGAGCTGGTTGTTTAAGGATCCTACTTGGTAGATACCTTTTTGGTTTTGGTTTGCTTTCAAAGCTTTCTTTTTAAGAGAAATTTTGTTGATTCAAGAATTTCATAGAATGAATTTTGATTGTATTCAGACTTCCTCCCCCATCTCCACCCTCACCCCTCACTCTATGGCTCCACCCCACCCCCACCCCTACTTCATGTCTTCTATGAAAAACCCCATCCATCTTACATAACCCTCTGAGTTGGGTGCCGAAGGAATCATATCTCATTGGAGTGTTGGTGATCTATAATTTGTACATGGAGGTGTGCCAAAATAAGGGCCCACTCCCTTTCCTTTGTATGTGGCTTTGGGTCAGTATTTGCCCCAGTTTCTTGGAATGTAATTTTTACTCTTAATTTCTGTTTCTCTTACACACTGCTTAGGAATGTCAAATGGGGATTTCTCTTTTTCTCATTGGTCCAAACATTTGGTTTTCTTCATCAAAATCAGTTGTTCACAAGCCTTGCATGCAGGTTACACTCTTGACTCTTTCCAGGCCCCACTCACTGTGGACCAAGATGTTCTCCAACAGGTTGATTCCCCACAGGGTTTTACTGTAGGTAAAAGCAGGAGCTAGGTCCTCACAGCAGGCATAGGCAGCCAACCCAAGGTTCTCTGAGTGGCAGTTGGGGAGTTTGACAGCTTCACATGGCAGCTTTACACCAGTGTCCTCTAGTTCATTTTCTGAAATCTCTAGACTTCTTAGATTCCTAATGTTGTTGAGGACTGCAGCCAGGTTTCAACAGCCACTGGGTGATGATGATGGTCAGCCAATCATGGTTGCCACCAGGGCACCTGGGTGGCCAGGCTGGTACAGCTTCACTGCTGCATGTGGTCAGCCAAACTCCACCATTGTTCATGGGCAGCCGGGCTAGTGAGGCTCCACCGTCTTGGCTCCCCAGTTATTTTCCTTCTTACTTCCCAAGTTCTGACTTCAGAATTTTGGAATCAATATAGCAGCATCAAGAGTCTTAATAAAATGAAGAGGCCTGGAGTCATGTTTTAAGCCCTTATGCCAAGAGTGCCCATTGCTGTCAATGACTGCACCGCCATCTCGGCTCTCCAATTATTTTCTTTCTTGCCAAGTTCTGAGTTCAGAATTTTGAGATCAATTATAGAAGTACCTATGGTGAGGTAAATATTCATCTGTGTGATAAGGTCCTTCACAAGGCCCATCACTCACATTCAGTCTCTTAGGAGTCGTCATGCCCTGGATCCCAAGGCTGGCTGCCTGGGGCATGCTTCATTCCTATACCATCTTTTCTCTCAGCATCATCACTTAGAGCTGTCTTATAGTCCTTCTGGTATGTATCAGAACTCACACTGAACAATGAGTTTTGGGATGCAATGAGGATTTGTTTTTGTACCTGTCTTTCATGTCTTTGTCCACCAGTTGAACAAACACACACACAGTCTTTTTAAGTATTTGTTTTAAGGTATTTATTTATTTATTATTTATTTATTGCTTTGAAAGCATTTTGGTTTCAACATTCAGTTTGGCTTTTGGTTGCTTTCAGACCTCTGAAGGGAGGTTTGATTCTGACTGTCTGCTAAAACTTGCTAATAGTATTTTTCCCCCCTTTTTCTTTTTCCCTGGACACTTCTCCCATCTCTAATCTGAGGAATGGAGAAATGTTTCAAGAAAGCCCAACAGATATTTAATTTTCCAGTTGGTTGTAGGTTTGATTAGTATGCTCCTGCAACTTACAAATGTTAAAAAAAAAAGTAGAAATCTAACCAAAAGTAAGTTCCCCTCAATGGGAAATGTTTACTCACCTAAATTGGCTCATTTTTTTACACACTTAACTAGAAGTCCTAGGCAATAAAATTGAAAAATATCACAAATGGACAATTGGTTTTAAGTGAAATGTAAAGTCATCTCTAAAAGCAAAATAAATTATATAGTTGGTAATTTACAATATTAAGGGCTCATCAAAAATTACATATGAGTTAAAGGGAGATATTAAAATTAAGAAATTAAAAATTAAAGGTTATGTAAGAACTACAGATAAATTCTGAGACTAGTCCTCCAATCTCATCTCTCTGACCTTGCCCTTCATTCCTATGTCCTAACAGCAAAATCTATATGCAAATAGATTATGACCTGTTTCAAGATGAAGAACTACAACAACAGAGACAGAAAGAAGGAAAGAAAGAAAGAAACAGAGATTGAAAGAGAGAAAGAAAAGGAACAATTCTATGCTGTATTAAAAATTCCAATTTGTTGAGGCTGGAGAGATGGCTCAGCGTTAAGAACACTGGTTGTTCTTGCAGAAGACCCAGGGTAGAATCCCAGCACCCACATGGCAGCTAACAACTGTCCATAACACCAGTTCCAGGGGATCCGACAGCCTCTTCTGTCCTCCGCGAGCATTGCACAACATGCGTGCACTTACCTACATGCAGGTATAACACTCATACACATAAAAATAAAAATAATAAAATTTTTTAAAATTAAAAAAATTCCTATTTGTAAAGGCCACTTTTCTTTGGGAAGCCATACTCACTTGGATATATATCATATTTTTTCCACTTGAAGAGCTCTTTTGCTTTTAACTCTCATGCTTAAGCCTGCATTAAAATGTCCTGGTTTGCCCTGAGTGGAGATCTCTAAAACTTAGGAGAACTCCTTGGGCCTCTAAGGATGACCACGTGACGGCTACATCTCAGTCACTGCTGAACTTCCTGGGCGCTCCTGCTGAGATCCATCTTGAAGCATTACTGGTGATTTTTCTGACGGTCACTTGTATGATCAACCCTGCTAAGCATGGTTTGCGTGTTACTTCTAGTTCTTTTGCATGTTTTTCTGGCCAGAGACCCACTTGATAATTCCCTAGATCATCCATACTCTGGTACCTGGGTCAGATGCAACATACAGCTTTTTCTGGGGTACAGTATAAGAGCTGATCTCTGAGCCTAAGCCAGTCTCTTACCTCCAAGAGAGCAGCCTGAGACAAAATGAGATGACTGCTTCTCAAAGTAGCACATTCTGGATCGAAAGCAGTATGCTCAGAACAACTGCTTTTATAGTTTATTCCATATATATATTTGTACATTGAGTATATTCTCCCTATACTCTCCTACCATCCCCCAGCCCCATTAGTCCTGTGTCCCCTGGACAGTTCCATTTTTACACTTTATTCTTAACCTGATGTCTTAAAATATTTCCCAATTTATGTAATGCTAATAGCTTAGACAAGAGGAACTCTGCTGGTTTTGTATGTGAAGGCATCTCCCCCTCAGTTATTTAGCTCTTGAAAAGACAAAGCGATGTTAGTTCACATGGCAAACTTCAACTTCTCTTCTTTTAGGGTGCTAAGCCTTCCTCACATATATAAGCTTTCTACCTTCTCCCACTCTGGGTACATCTAGATTTCATGTAATTGTGTCATGTGTGTTTATGATAATTATTTTCATGTGTTGTTTGTGTAAAACATTTTTAAAAATATTTATTATTTTTATTTTATGTGTATGCATGTATTGCCTGCATATAGGTAAGTACACCTGTGTCTTGCGATGCCCATGGAAAACAGAACTGTCCGGATCCCCTGGAACTGGAGTTATGGACAGTTGTTAGCTCCCATGTGGGTGATGGGATTTGAACCCGGGTCTTCAGCAAGAATAGTCAGTATTCTTAACTGCTGAACCATCTCTCCAGCCCCTCAAAACATTTTTTAAAACAAATTGTGGCCACTTCAGGTTTTTTTTATTCTTTTTTATTGTGTGCTAAAATTATTAGTTTTATTTTTACTTTTGCCATGCCCTACTAAAATGCACATGTGCAGATTTATAAATGTATTTTACTGATGTATTTTGCCTTATAAATTTGGGTACTCTGAAAATCTTTAAAACAATATCTTTGGGTTTATTGTCTATTAAGTGTTTCATAAAACCTTAAAATGCTAATTGTTTACAAAGCATTCATTAGAATCATGAGATATGTATTAAACTATAAAACTGATTGTTAAATACATAGATTGTTATTAGGATTTCCTTCAAAAACATGTTCTAAATAAATGTATACTAATTTAAAAAAAATTTGGGGGACCTTTTTGAGATAGGGTCTCCCTGTAGCCCCAGCTGACCAGGAATTCACTATGTAAACCAGGCTGGCCTCGAATTCACAGAGATCCTCCTACCTCTGCCTCTGCCTCCCGAGTGCTGGGACTAAAGGCATGCACCACCATACCCAGCTTACTACTAATTAAATTTTTATTTCAATTGTGTAATAGAGATAACGATCATTTCTTTTTTTTCAAAATATTCTTAATATGAAATTGTTAAAGGTAAGTTTTTTATTTATTGAGACTACACTACATGTAAAACAATGGATATATGTTTGCTAAAGATCTTTGTGTTAAATTTCCTTTTTACAATGAGGATTACAGAATACATAATCTAACAAAAAATGATTGCAAGATCTTGGCTGCTAAAAAAAACCTATCTTACATATGACTGCTTGTGTGTGCACTGTTTACATGAGCTTATGCTTTTTAAAAAATAATTTACTTGGTATCAAACTGACTTATAAGAGCTCATGTAAGCTGGAGTTGTTAAATTAGTTCAGCTTCTTTTGGGCTCATAATAAAACTAAATTTAAGGCACGTTGTCCCAACTGTAAAAAATTAAGTTACCTTGGCCACATGTCCAGTATGCCAATTAAAGGGTAAGAATAATGGCAAAGGACAAAGAAGATATTAAACCAATGGGGCCACTTTGGCAAAACAAGTAGAAGTGACTAATTATCCTAGATCTTCTATGAGAGAATTAACATCAGTTTTCAAGTTTAAATATTTAAAGACTCCTTTTTAAAAAACACAAGATATACTTGATTATACAATTCTGGTGAAGATATTATCGCCTTGATCCTTGTCTTTGTTGTGGTTGTATCATGTGGTTCCTGTTGCTTGAGAAGATAAGTTAATTTTAAAAGATGATTACACTTGTTCCAGAATGCAATTTTTCCTATGGATAATTGCTTTCCTGAGATGCTAAACTCTTTATTCCAAATATTAAGAAGATAGCTTATCTCTGTGCTTTTAGATATATTTTGTATATATCATATCTATATGAATATAAACATTTTAAAGATTTTAAGGACACTCTTGAACACTACTGCCACTTTAAACAGGTTTGTCAAGGTCCAAATCATTACCAAACACAAGTAAAACCAACTCTAAATATTTACAAAGAAAAACGGTCATTTAAAAAACCTGCTTCAAAGTCAGGCGAGATGGCACATGCCTTTAACCCCAGCACTCGGGAGGCAGAGGCAGGTGGATCTCTGTGAGTTCAAGGCCACCCTGGTCTACATAGTGAGTTCCAGGACAGCTGGGGCTGCAGGGAGACCCTGTCTCAAAAAGACCACAACCCCCCCCAAAAAAACCCAAAAAACCCTGCTTCAAGGCTTACAAAGACATCTTAAAGTTTATAGATAATGTGTTATATTATAATAATATATTTGAGGTAGGACAAGGCTGAGATCTTAGCAGACAGCCTGAGAGGGTGGGTTCCAACCTCCATCAGTGTAACATCTGTGATCTCAGTAGACCACCAGAGAGTACAGGTTCTGACCTCCCTTTGGCATAGGGGCTGAGAATGCAGGGGACTGCCTGAGAGCATCCAGATCCTGCCTTCACGTGGTGATAAAAGAGTTATGCAATTTGGGAGTCTTTTTAAAAAATTTTATTTATTATTTTAATTTTATGTGTATGTGTGTAATGCCTGCATGTAGGTAAGTGCCTTTTAGAGAGACTCACTGAAAGGGTGCGCTAATTGCCTCACCCTGCATCCCTGTTCAACATGGAAGAAGCCAGAGTGGTCTGCATCCCGATTTCCTACCTGCAAGTTTGGTAACCTCTTCAGAGGATGGTATAAGAATAAGAAGTAGGAATTGGCTAGGCAGGTAGGGTTTTAAAAAAAAAAAAAAAGGCCCAAAGAAAAATTGCCAGTTTCTTGGCTAAAAGTCAAAATGTCCTTGGGACTGTTAGCAATATACTTTTCCAAAGGTCAAATATGTCAAAAGTATTTGGGAGCTTTTATCTAACCCTTAAAAAGATTTTAGGGTTACCTATTCAGAGGGGGTAATGTTAGAGTAGCAAAAAGCCCCATAAAGAAATAAAAAGAAGGAGAAAGAGTACATGAAATTATCAGAAAAAAGTGATAGATATGGGAGGAGTTGGAGGGGAGGGAGTGGGCATGGATTTGATCAAAACACCTTATATACATGTATGAAATACTCAAAAATTATTTAAAAAATACATTTGAGATCATTTTTCATCTCTGTCTAATTTTAAAGAAAAAATAGTTTAGGTAAATACTTGTTAAGTGATTAGCATACTTATTACAAAAGTCAACGTGGCTAAGAATAAATAAATACAGTCAAAACTGCCAAAATTTTATCTTATGGATGCCTAAAACCCTAAGGAGAAATAAATACTTTTAAAGAAAAATAATTTCAGAGGCACCCACATAGCAACTAACAACGATCTGTAACTCCAGGTTCAGGGGATCTGACGCTCTCTTCTGACCTCCTCATACATTGTATAACACTTACATATACTCATACACATAAAATCAAAATGATAAATAAAATATTTTTAAAAAGTCAACGTGCTTGTTATAATGACCTGTCTTTAACAAATAGTTTACATTGGTTAAAAAAAAGACTATTAATGTTTTACCTGTATTTATTGCTGTTAGATATTTACGATACCATGTATATGTTTCCTATATTTTAGATATAACTTCCTGGATTTTCGTTTAAAATTATCTTATTAAAATGTTCTCTAAATTTTATATATGTATTAAAGCCTATTGAAAATTATACTTAAATATTTCTGCATGAATCTATGTGTATAGCTGAAGGCCATATAACAAGAAACAGTTCCAGACAGGAGAAACCTCCTTTTGAGTATTTGGCCAGGATAGTCTAAGAAACTCCTAAAATTACACAGGCCCTTGATTGCCTCCCAGAACTTGAAAGTAAGGGCTTATTACTGAAGACAGGACATACTTCAGACACAGGGCTTGGAGCAGTGGGGCTGGAACTGACCTGGAAGTCACCTCCTGAAAGCTAGCTTTCATAGTTTTGGAGACACTATATAAACTGCTAAGGGAGAACATCAATCAGTGGTCCAACTCCAGCTTTAACACCTAATAACCACAACAATGACTGGCACAGCAAACTATATTGTGCCAGTAGTGGCACTTTTATCTTGGGGTAATCGACAGCTGCGTAACTGGCATTAAGGCTGCTGAATGGGAGGCAACACATGTGTGGTACTAGAAACATAGCCAAATACATATGGCCGGAGAGGTCATAAGTCTTAAAGAAAACCCTAAGGTTGTCATATCCCCCAGACAAATGTAACTTTTTACTATGTGCTAAATATGGATCTTTATATTTACAGACAAGTATGCTAGTCACCACTCATCAAAGAAGCTTCTTTTGCGACAGATAACTATTATAGTGTTCCGCAACTGGTCACACACAGAGATTGTCTGTGAAATGCCCAACCCTAAGTGACACATCTGCAATGGGACCGCTACACCTGAGGCTTACGAAACAAGGGGTAGAGAGAATACTAATGCATTTCCCAACTCTCATCAACAAAACTCCTTTATCCAAAAGAGGGCAATGATTAAAAGAGGCCACAAGCGGCCAAAGTATAGATGATAAGCATCTGCAGAGTGTGGGCCCTCAGACAGGAGTCCTGCATTAAACTTCACCTACCCAGGACTCAGGGACCATTGCAGAAGAGGAGATGGAAAGGTTGTAAGAGCCAGTGGAGGTGATGCATGCCCATACGAAAACTGTCTTACAGGCTCCTGTGACCTTGCTCATATGAACCTGCAGCAATGGTGTCAGTATGCACAAGACTCATGCAAACTCAAATAGAGAACTAGGGAAGTGGATAGCAGGCCCCAGTCTTGGCTGAAGTACTATTGGTAGCTGATTACTGCATTTGAGGTTTCTCTTTTTGCTGTGTCCACCTACTTAACGTTTCCACCAATGTATTTGAAAAGTATCTTGATGTAAAACTTTTCTTTGTTCTGTTACTATAAAAATTTCATGAAACTGCTTCTACCCTGGCACATAACATGGAATTTGGGGTAACCTGAATCTGTGTTCCTGGGCCATGGTCACTCCCATCTAGCTCCAGAATAAACTCTTATCCCTTTGAGATGAGAGTTGTGCTTTTGCTATGATTCAGTGAATTCCTGTTGACTCACTTGCCCCAGAAGTGCTCAGTTCTCCTTTTTTTTTCACTAACCCTCTCCAAACCAGGCAGAGTTCACAGTGTGTCTGCATGCAGTGCTTTGCTAAGGAACAACCTTCCCCCACAATTTTTTTTTTTTTTTAAGGCATGGCGTCATTTAGCTCAGGTGAACTTCTGTTCTTCCTGCATCCACTTCTGGAGTGCTGAGATTACAGGCGCGCAACACCACGCTCGGCTTTTCATCTATATAGGAGTGTGTTCTTTTGATATTAGGCCTAACCAATCCGGCTCTTATTATGTCATCATTTGTGTTATTCTCTTAAAACAGCCTCTTAGTCCCAGGACATCGTGGACCCTAGCTCTAGCCTCAACTGAGGCTTTCTTATTTTCCCTCAGTCTTCACTCTGCCCTGCTAAGCAACCATGCAGTAGTAGGTGGTGTTATGTATTTGAATGAAAAAAAAAAAACAACTAAATTCAAGACTCTTCGTATAGTGTTTTTAATTCTTATGGGTGTGTTGAGGGTCTCTTACTGAAGATTCCAACGCTGTTGTCCACAGTCTCTTATTCTAATGGTCAGAGGTGCTTAAGCTCTTCAATGCAGAACTGGAGGCTTGGGGTGCTGCCTGCACGCCTGACAGATGCGCTTCACCTGCGCTGTGCGAGCAGCCACTGTCCTGATGGTCGTGAGTGCCAACCAGAACACAAAATCCTGTGGCTCTTTCAACGCAGCACGGCTCCGGGGCTCGCGAGGGGATGGGGCCTCGCGGAGCGGCTCTTTTGTCCCTCATTGGCTGGGTCGGGAGGCGTGGCGCGCCGTGATAACTAATGGGAAACGGCTCTCGCAGGCACGTGTGCCGGGCTGGCCCGGGAACCTGCAGGCCTGGGCCGCTGCTGCAGGGACCCGAGAGGAGCAGCTGTCTGGGGGCTGCAGATCTGCTGAAGAGAGAACCAGCTTTGGGCTGGCGCCGGCCGTCCTAACTATCCTCGCTCGCTCGGTGAACGCGCCGCCATGTGGGCCGCGCTTAGGTCTGCTCTGCGGCCCTGCGCCCGCGCCACTGTCCCCCGGCCTCGCGCCTACCACGGAGACTCGGTGGCCACGCTGGGCACCCAGCCGGATTCGGGCTCCTCCACCTACCAGGTAGGCTGCAGGGGCGTGCAGTTGGCCTGTGCACCCAGCTGGCCGGGTGTCACCACCGGCTGGAGGGTGGGCACGCGTGGACCGCTGCTGCAGTGTTCCCTCCAGCTCCAGATTCTTTTCTCTGACGCACAAAGGGTGAAGTAAAGTTTGCCGAAGAAAATCGTTCCCGTGAGATTTTAATTCACTTTTAGAACTGCCTTTTTATGTCTCTGAAGTCAGAACCTGATTCAGAATTGTCACCCGGGAAGCTTAAGTATGCAGCCGCCTGAGCCGGCTGTGCATGGTCTGGGTCTCTAAAGTGGGGTTCTTCGTGGGGGGATGTTGTTGCCACTTTCGAGAACCACCGGCCTAGCACAGCAGACACTGGACTGTGTTTACAATGCTTTAAAGTTCTTTTTACAGAAATGCATATTCCATTGTATTTTTAAATATCTTTTCTAGGAATTAGGAGGTTTTACCAGGTAAAGAAACGACTCAGAACTTGTGAAATATTAAGAGTATGAAAATTTAAATCTGTTCAGTGGTTTCCAAGCTTATGTAGATAACATCTGAATTGTGCAAAGGACCTGCAAGTATTGGGGAGAAGTTAACTCAGAAACCTGTAAGTTGTCTAGGTACTCTTTAAGTATTTGCTATGAATACCAATACAGGAGGGCCTTGCACGCAAAAGCCACATTTAGATCTCATTTTGCAAACCATCCTTAAAATACTTAAGTAGAGAAGTGGCATGAGCCTGTGGATTTGGAGAAGAGACCGAAGTTAAGCAGTGGTAAGAAAAACTGACCTTTCAGGTAATGAGAGGTCAGAGTTCTGACTGCATCTGGGCATCTGAGAGTTGGGGGAGTTGAGGATGGAGGGGGAGGAGAGGAAATGAGTGGCAGAGAATGTATTTGGTGATGGTTTTGTTTGAATCATCTATGTTAGGATGTCCTTAATCTTTTTTTTTTTTTTTTTTTTTGAGACAGAGTCTCACTATGTAGCACTAGAACTTGCTGTGTAACCAAACTGACCTTGAACTCACAAAGGTCTGCCTGCCTCTGCACACTAAGTGCTAGGCTTAATGGCATGTACTACCATTTATCTTAAGTGGCTTTATTTACTTATGATTGTCATATCAGAGAACACTTCATTCTTTTGGTTACTGTTTGCATAGAATATCTTTTTCCATTTTTTTCACTTCTAACTTCTGTGCATCCTTAGATATAAAGTGAGTCTTTATAGTGTAGATGAGTTTTTTTTTACATAGTTTCACCACATAGTCTAGATAGACCTCAGATTTTCATTTCTCCTGCTTTAGCTTCCTGAGTACTAAAGTTATTAGATATGTGCCACCTCACCCAGCTCTGGATCTTATATTTTAAATTTTATTTCATTCTTTAACCTAATTTTTGTGAGAGGCAACATGCTGCCCAGATGGGCCCTGAACTCCTAGGCTCAAGTGATCCTTCTGCCTTAGCCTCTTGAGCTAGGACTGCATACATAGGTGGTCACACCTGGCATAACAATGTATTTAGAATTAATGCATATAGAAACTCTTATCCTTTTCAGCTCTACCAAATTAGTTATGCTATTGATGTCACAGATTACAGCTTCATATACTGTTTTATGTACTCATTAACATAGATTTATAATTTTTATGCATTTGCATTTTAAATCCTATAGATAATAAAATAGAAATGCGGGACATGGTCGTGCACACCTTTAATCCCAGCACTTGGGAGGCAGAGGCAGGCGGATTTCTGTGAGTTCGAGGCCAGCCTGGTCTACATAGGGAGTTCTAGGCTAGCTGGGATTACAGGGAAACCCTGTCTCAAAAAGACCAAAAAATAAAAATATACAAAATTGCCAGGTGTGGTGGCACAGGCCTTTAATCCCAGCACTAGGGAGGCAGATCTCTGTGAGTTCAAGGCCAGCCTGGTCTACATAGTGAGTTCCAGGCCAGCTGGGGCTACAGGGAGACCCTGTCTCAAAAAGACCAAAAATAAATAAATAAATAAATAAATAAATAAATAAATAAATAAAATTTAAAAAAATATATAAAAGAACTACAAACCAACATTAAAACAATATTGGTTTTTATATTGGCTTAGATATTTACATTTGTTGGAAATCTTTATGTCTTTATGTGATTTTGAATTACTGTCTGTAGTTCATTCTAACCCAAAGATTTTGGAACTCACAGAGACCCGCCTACCTCTGCCTCCTGAGTGCTGGAATTAAAGGTGTGTACCACCACACCCGGCCCAGTAGCATTTTTATAGAACTGTTCTAGTGATAGTGAGTTTAATTCCTTCAGCTTTTGTTTATTCCAACATATCCTAATATCTCCCTTTGTGTGTGTGTGTGTGTGTGTGTGTGTGTGTGTGTGTGTGTGTGTGTGTTTGAGACAGGGTCTCCTTGTAGCACCTACTGTCCTGGAACTCACTATGTAGACCAGGCTGGCCTTGAACTCACAAAGATCTGCCTGCCTCTGCCTCCCAAGTGCTGGGATTAAAGGTGTGCTCCACCACACCCGGCCCTCTCCCTTTCTTTTTAAAAACAAAAGCAAAAACATGGTCTCACTAGTAGCACCGGCTGGCTTGGAACTTTCCATGTAGTCTAGACTGGCCTTGAACTCACTAAGATCCATGTGTCTCTGCTTCCCAATCTCCCTTATTTTTGAAGAACAGTTTTCCTGGCAGTAGAATTCCCTGACAATTTTATTTTTCCTTAATAACTGAGGTCTTGTGAAGTGGCTCAGGCTGGCTCTGAACTCCTGGCTGAAGCCGTTCTTCTCATCCTCCTGATATCTAGGACTACAGGTGCACACCACTGCATTTAACAACAGCTTTTCTCTTTTTCATTTTTCTTTCAGTACATTAAATAGATCACCACATTCCTTTCAGGCCTCCAAGATTCCTGCTGAGAAATCGATTGATAATAATCTCACTGATGATCTCTTCTATGTGATGAGTCTTACCATTGTAAAGATTCCTTCTTCGTCTTTATTTTCAGCAGTTTGATCCTAATGTTTTGGTGTGAGCCTCTTTGAATTTATCCTTCTTGAAATTTGTTGAGATTATTGGATTTATACATTCAGATCTTTTATCAAATTTAAGAAAATTTCAGCCATTATTTCTGTTAGGGTTCCAAATAGCAGCCCCCCCCTCCCCAACAGGGACCTACAAACTCTGCTGAGAAGCAGCCTGCCTTTCCTCT